AGTCATAGAGAACGCAAAAATTTTATATACATACGCTTATAAAATCTCAAATTAAGAATAATTATAATTATATAATAGTAGTCGAATTTTAAGTACTTTTTCAAATAAGAATAATTTTAGTAAGTTTAATTTTAAAGTAAGGAACATATGTATAAATACATAACGAATTCTCATTTTATTTTAAATAGATTTTAATTAATTAATTAAAGTATTTAATTTAATATCATTAAAAAAAATAATATTAAAAAATGTGTGATATAACAAAACGACGATAACTTAATAAATCGTATGTATATAACATTGATATGTAATTAAAAATGTAGAATATGAAATGAAATTACAATTATTAATGTTAAATTAAAAATAATATTACGCATATATATATAATTAAATATCATTTATTTAAATTCACTCTTTAAGCTCCAAAAAAATTCATCGGATATATATTTCTTGTAGGCTATTTCAGAAAATTACAACAAGTTATATTTTCACTATACTTATTTTATGCAAGCAACTTAAAATATCGCAGGATTTCATCTAAGAACACCAAATCTCAATAATAAATGCTAGCAAATATTTTACCTTAAAAAACATTATGTTTACTTAATAAATATTGATACAGAATTCATATTATAATACACTGAGGAAAATGATCTGTTGGATTAAATAGTGATTTTGGTGGAAAGTGGGACAAATCAGAATTTTCTGGTGAAATCTACTAGAATTCTAGTTGAAATAACTGAAATTCTGATTGATATAATTATTCTGGAAAAAATACGAATTTTAGTAGATTTTATCATATTGCATCAACCAGAATTCTAATTATCTCAACCAGAATTCTGCTAAATTTAACCAAAAAATTCTGATTCATCCATTTTCAACCAGAAATTTTTTCAGTGATACAACAACTACATATTTTTAATACAAAGTATTATAAAATAAAATTAAAAATTATAAAAGAAAAATTACACAAGGAAAAAAATATTTTCGTTTCTTCTGATATTATTTAATGTAATTAATGTAATTTTGGTGTTTCTAGAATTAAATGGTACTCAAAGCAAAACAAGAAGCGGGAATAACTCTTTAACATATTACGCATAAGCGATTGTGTGCGAAGTGCAATGTGTATAATTTGAGAATGGAATCGGAAATATGAGAATACTGTTGAAGATCAAAATCATATTTTTGATGCATCGTTAATATGAGGGAAGGGAATGGCCCTTCTCTCTCTATATATATATAGTATATATATATAATATATTGTCGTAGCGACATGTTTTCATGGAGAAGCCTCGTTTTGGGCGTGCAACTATCGGCGCTGATAACGCGATTGCGAGAGAGGGTGAATGGACCATAAATCGTGGATCGACGTGATTTGTATGGGGTATCACGGCGCTTAATGGTGTGGCTTGTCTCTATCGACATGTTCTGACCGGAAGTTCCGAGCTGCCATAGTTAGAGGGAAACACTCTGTAGACCTGTCCGCCGTAACCTGACGATTTACGTGCATTCATATCTTTTCGATATTTGGCACTATGAATGAATCGTGCCCGAGAGAATGTAGATATGTAAATTAAAAAAAAAAAAAGTTTTAAATTCAAAATAATTTGGAGAAAATTAGATAGAAATTTGAAATAGAAGTATATTTTTTTGTAGAAATCAGATTCATATATCGGTATCCGACTTGAATTATAAATCAATGGCGGCGAAAATTATTTGTGCAATTAAAATGTAGGTATTATATATTCCTAATGATACTTAGTTTCAACTTATGTTAACAATAATGTGCTTTATGCGGATTAAAATATTTTCTTCGATATTCTGTGCGATTTATATTTTCGTTAGAAAAAAAGCGTAAGTAACAATGAAACGAGAGAGAAAAAAATATAATAAATATTCGAAAAGTGATAAAAAGAGAGAGAAAGAGAAGAGCGTCGCGCGTGGGTCTCGGGTCGGACAGGTTGACGAATGAAACGGAAATCCTTGCCAGCGGGCGTTTATCGGAAGTTTCATAAAAAGAAAGGGGCCGCACACGTCCATGTCCAGCCCTCGAAACGGGTGCGGCTTCCGGAGTTCGCGACAACCGACGGCTGTACCGATAGCTTTTTGGGGTCGTATCTCGATCCGGCCAAAAATAGCGATACACATAAGCACACATGTATATCCCATATACACAAGTGGTCAGGTACGTATATACAGGGTACTTCGGAGATTGCTCGCTTTCTCTAAACGACAAATATTAGGCAGACGCAAAAGATGTTAGAAGTATATTTAATATCGCAATCGTAATATTAGAAAAGCAATAATTACTTAATGTTACGAAACATCATTATATTACGCTTAAATTACATGCGATTGGTCAATAAAACGGTGAGCGATTTAAATTTGCAAATAAGGTATGAAATCATATTTTGCAGATAGATTTCAAATGAAACATTTTACAATTTGATATTGTGTTACCGAGATACAGAATATCGAAAAAAAGCTCATGAAAATAAGTTGAATATATTCCCTTACGAGATGTTGGAATGAACATCTCTAAATTCTTCAAAAATTCTTTAGCGGATAAAAGCGTACGACCTCTGGGGCACCTTATATAAATACGTATATACTAAGTATATACTAAGTCTGCCCGTGGAAATCCTTATTGCCTGGGTTTGGCCGTCCATCGAAACGACCGACGCGTAGGGATCTAGGCCAAGAGTTCATCTATTTCGAGTGAATCTCCAGCTGACGTAAACGCGATCGAGACTTTAGATAAGGACTTCGCACCGCGAAATCTAGGGGACTCCGAGTAGTGTGAAACTGGTGAAGCTTTGAGTCCCCCAAATTCTGACGTCCACTCAAAGTTGGTTGGGTGGAAAAGTGTGGGATCAGCCGAAAGCTACCACCAAAATGAAGAACGTTCGACTTGTAAAAGATATATCAATACGTCTGTCATGAGATAATTCCGTCCTGAAAATTGATTCTGCATCGAAATTGAAGACTTATCGAGAGAGCTTATACATATTTTGAAACAAACTATATACCTATAAGGTTTATCTGTTTAAAGGGCTTCAGTAAGAAACTGCACGTGAAGTTGTATGAAGGTGGAAAGCAAGTTTTTTCCTTGGAATATTAGATTTATCTTTAGATGTAATTAAGATATTTTTTTCTCTGTAGAAATTATATTTGCTTTTCTTTTAAAAGAAGCGATATCAGTGAGCAATTTGTAAGTGCATATTCTCACAAAAGCTTGAAAGTTTCCTTTCTTCTCCATTCCTCTCTATCGTAGATTAAGGGACAATAGGCAACCAAATGATATAAAAAAAGTCATTGCAAATGTAATAAGGATTATATATTGCGCCGTCACCATAAAATATATGATCATATTTAGAATATTTAAAGATTCTTCTAATGAAAAAGAATGAAAAAGTATGAAAATGATTAATTAAACGAAACATTATCGATCAGCTTGTTTTTATATTCCAGATGCATATTCTACTTTTATATCTCCTAATTCTTTTGTAATTGTAAATAAGTAGAGTGTATGTTTAAAGAAAATGTTTAAAGAAAATTATATGTTAAGTAGATGT